ACACAAACACACACTCTCAAACACACACACACACACACACACACACACACACACACTGAGGGGTGTGTCAGAGCAATTTAGTTCCTCAAGGAAGTACAACTCAACATTATCTTAAGACAGGGTGGCAGCAGTGACAGAAGCGCTGCAGGAGGGCTTTTTTTTTTAAAGCTTTTCATTCAGCTTGTGGTGAAAATGAAGACGTCTTTTTAAAAATCAACCGTCCTGTGCTGTCAACCTGAGACAGAGTGAAGGGAGAGGCAGATTTCTGACACACACAAAAGGAGGGAGGGGGACTCTCACAACACTCAGGTAAGAAAACTTCTCCAGCTTTCGTGAAAGAAAATACAACAGGGGCCAGATTAGTGTCATGTTCTCCCTTGTCCCCTTGTTGGAAACGGTGTTCAAAGCAGGCTAAGTTGAGGTATGATTAGAACAAATTGTGTGACTTCTGTCAACTTCCCCATTTTTAAGCGCGCGTTGGGAGATGTGCATGTTCTCTCACAGTCATGCTGAAACAAGTACAGTGACATGCACAGCTGTGGAGCTCGCACATGCTGAGTGTTGCTCAACTCAAATCTCCAAGGCACTGAGTGGACTTTCCCTTCTCCGCTCGCCTGCTTTGACTTTAAGGCGCAGATAAAGACAATAAAATGTCACTATATTCCACTCACATTGTAGTGCGGATACAAGGTTTGAATACAAGGTGTGGGCCTCTGCGTATGACTCTTCAACGTTTAATAACTGCGGTCTGTTTCGCTTCCCTTTTGAGGCGAGATGTGGGGCTTAGTTGAGCAACAGAGGAGTTTTGCAATCCCACAAGAGAAACTGCAACATGTGCTGTCTGAGAATCTGCTTCAAAAGTACCCAAAACATGATATATGTCAAATAACGAAGATCAAAACTATACATGAAACCAATATAATCTTTGTGCACACAGAAGTCAATATGCTACTATAAGAGAGAGACCATTTAGTCAACAACAACACCAAGCATTTGAACCTTCAAGACAGTTTGAAAACACACAGCGGAAGTGGCGTTTCGTCGTGACACAACACTCATCTGGCACAGAAAGAAATCCTGTAATTGTTTTATATTGCATCAGTAACAAGAACAGAAAAGTGGGCGGTCTACCAATGGCCTGGGGTCTACATAATGAAAAACAGCTATTTTGTCATTGAAACACCTAATCTGTTTTGTCCACTAGTTGTCAGCTAAAAGATTGGTTGCTTTAATGCATTTCAACAAAAGGCTCCTTGTTTTCATGATTGAGTTGTTCTGTGTTTTTTTATTCTGGAACATTCTCATTGTTGGATCTGATCAAAGGCAGCTAAACGAGACCTCCTCTCAGCAGATACAACCCAGTCTGCTGGGGATGAAATTCGGTGACGATGACTCTCTGTTTGAGCTCGTAGCAAAGAGGCCCTGCTGTAATAACAGAGCAAGGCACAATTTTGATCGGCTGAGTCAAAAGAGGCTCCGTGAACCCCCCTCTAAGCCCTGTGAGAGGATTTGTCTTCAACATATGCCGGAAAGGGCGAGGACAGAAAGAAGATTTTGGTTGTAAAACACCTGGAAAGTACTTTTTCTCCAAACATGCACAAGTTCATACATGTACACAAACAGTGAGGCTCAAATCGGGAGCTATCTGAGGAATGCTAAATATGTACCTCTCCTTCCACTCCACCGATCATCACTCACTGTCCATTAAGCTCACGCTCAAAGATTCCTCAGCAGTAACTCTGAACCAGACTGTGATCTCTGCTTTGTTATACATTTTTGCACGGTGGCGGTATCAGATCTCTACCGGATCCAGGGAGAGAAACAAACACTTGAACATGTAATGCAGTCAACAGCGTTTAAAAGCCCTCTTCAGTCCGTCGGCACCCCGAAAATTGGTGCTCAACATCGAAAGCGTCCTCCATGAGAGCGACTGTCCATTACAGGAAAGTGGTTTCATGGCAATATTCACAGAAATGTTGCAATGCCCTCTTCAAAAATCAGCCTCCTGATAGATCTGCTTAAAACAAACAATGCGGAAAACACAAAAGTCAAGCAGCGACAGCCTCCAGCTGAGGGGTAACATTTCATTTCGTCTGAAGGCCTCACACTGTGCACGTCCCTCAAATCCCCGTAGTCTTTTTAGCAAATACATGAGATTGAAGCATGAATCTCAAATAGTTATCACGCTGCTCCACTTCCATTATCACCGTTCAGGGAAATTAATCTAATGAATGTTCTTTAAATTCCCCACAGGGAAGCCAAGGCTTTCGTAATAAAGCGCTCTATTCGAAATGTGACACTTGTTCACAATGAATGGCTGAGCATGTCAAATCGAAGCTAGTGAGATATGCCATAATAAACGTGACTGTTTGCTTAGTATGGATGTTGCTGCTGGGATTTGGTTGCACACAGGGGGACGGGGGAGAGTCTCATCAGCCGCTAAATATGTGCATGATACGATCGTTAATGTGACCGGATAACCTTTTTGATTATTAGTGAGCCGTGGAGTCATTTGCTCACAGTGCTGACTGTGCAGTCGGAGAATGCAATCATTTGAACAAGGCTGTCTAATTAGCATAACCCTGCATGAAGGGAACGCATTCAAACAACCATCAGGCTGTCATTTAACCGACTGCTTATGGATATGATGCTGTTGAAAATGCACAGGGTGTTTCAGAAGGTTTTTCATCTCTAGGCCAGTAATTACGGTAGCTTTTGGGTTCCTACCCCTGATGCAATCTGGGAAAAGCCTGCATGGACCTGCCTCAGATATGCAGCCTTCCAGCTTCTCTCAAATACTTGCCCACACAGGTATTTAGTGCGGAAAACGACACTGAAAGACGCACAGTAACAACTTAATGTGAGTGTAAAAAGCAAAATGACCCAGGAAGTATTAGAGGGTACAAAGTGGCACTGATGCAGACTGTACAGGCTTTGGATTAAGGGGAAGTGGGATTGGAGATGTCTTTGTGTGTGTGTTTATGTCCAATAAGGGACATAAACACTATGTGCTTCATCTATTTCTAGGTTATATTACTCTAATCCTTTCCATAATTGTTATTTAAATGATGTGGAAACTCCTATTTTGTTTAATTTGTCGTCTCTAATAAGAACATCAGCTAAATAAAATGTTATTTCCTCTGTGAACGATTCCCTTCAAACCTGCCTGCTTTCATGATAGAGATTAGGGAGGGAGAATTAAACGCAATTAAAAAGGAATTAATTCAAACTGTGTTGACAATCAAAAATAAACAGTGGGTTTTGTAGTTGTGTCACAGCGAGCAGTTTGCATGCTGATGACCTCCCGGGGGGTTTTCCTCTGATGGATGCTAGGTGTGGTTTAAAATCTCACAGGAGGAATTAAAAGCCTCCGTGGAGTCTCTTCCATGCCGCTTCTCCCTTTTGGCATCATTTGTCAGATACGAAAACAAACACAAACTAGAACTAACATTATATTAAAGCAGTGTTTTAAAGGTCTCCTATTATGCAATCCATACATCAACATGTGTCCCCTCTTCTTCATGTCTCTTCTACATCAACATGTGTCCCCTCTTCTTCATGTCTCTTCTACATCAACATGTGTCCCCTCTTCTTCATGTCTCTTCTACATCAACATGTGTCCCCTCTTCTTCATGTCTCTTCTACATCATCATGTGTCCCCTCTTCTTCATGTCTCTTCTACATCAACATGTGTCCCCTCTTCTTCATGTCTCTTCTACATCAACATGTGTCCCCTCTTCTCCATGTCTCTTCTACATCAACATGTGTCCCCTCTTCTTCATGTCTCTTCTACATCAACATGTGTCCCCTCTTCTTCATGTCTCTTCTACATCAACATGTGTCCCCTCTTCTTCATGTCTCTTCTACATCAACATGTGTCCCCTCTTCTTCATGTCTCTTCTACATCAACATGTGTCCCCTCTTCTTCATGTCTCTTCTACAATCAACATGTGTCCCCCTCTTCTTCATGTCTCTTCTACATCAACATGTGTCCCCTCTTCTTCATGTCTCTTCTTCATCAACATGTGTCCCCTCTTCTTCATGTCTCTTCTTCATCAACATGTGTCCCCCTCTTCTTCATGTCTCTTCTACATCAACATGTGTCCCCTCTTCTTCATGTCTCTTCTACATCAACATGTGTCCCCTCTTCTTCATGTCTCTTCTACATCAACATGTGTCCCCTCTTCTTCATGTCTCTTCTACATCAACATGTGTCCCCTCTGTGGAAAGAGACTCTGAAAGTTTCAGGAAAAAAGATTCTCTCTTTTTGTCCTGATCTATTTACTTGTTGATTTGATATAGCTCAAAGTGAGGCTTTACAGTGGACTAAAGGGATGTGGTTGGTAGCAGTCTGAAGGTTAGATCGTCAGAGTAACTCACAGGAGGGCAGGCGGTTCAAATCCCCAGATCATCTTGGACATTTTGGATAAGAGAGGTGCACATATGGTGCCCTCCCCAGCCTCCGAAACAACAAACATGTGGCCCTTGAACATGGCACTTAACCTCCAAACACCCCACTGGAGCAGCTCGGTGTCTGCCAGTAAAAGAAGGAAACTGCAGAGCCGTAACCAGATGTGAAAACACTGTTCTTCCGCTTCCTTTCAAAAAGGGAGTGTCTTTACATATCTGCATTATTGTTGGGCGCGTGGGTACACCTCTAACTGCTAGACAGTACTTAGATCCTTCTACTCACAGCAGTGTACACATATTCTAACACACTTCTGCTTCCAACATGTTACCTAAGTAGAAAAGGACTAGCTTCAAAATAGACTTCAACTACAAAAACTAAGAGCTGTTCAAAAGGCCTATTTCAGAAGAGTATAGATTATATTACTGAAATACAATTAGTCATGCTTTAATGTGTTTACCAATTATGTGTTGCATGTTGTAAAGGTAGGGTTCATTTGTACTACGTAATTAACTTTGATATATACTACTGCTTAATACATCATATTTCATCCAGGATCTGTATTTTAGGAAGTCATTTTGCCAAATAAACGTAAAAAACTACAATATTCGCCTTGAAATATAGCGGAGTAGAAGTATAAGATTGCATAAAATGAAAATATTCAAGTACCTCAAACTTGTACTTGAGCTCTTAGCACTTGTATTTGTGAACTAAGGAAAGCAATGCAAATTCAATATTATCATTTAGGCGGTAATCTAGCCAGTGACAGGGAATCTTTTCCATCTGCAGAAAGAGACACGTGTTGGTTGAAACACATCTGTGTCCTGCACACCATTTGGAGAAGTGGTTACTTTACTCACCAATGCTGGAAACTATCTATTTGCAATGTTTACTACTGCTTTCTTCCAAGTCAAAGTTATATTACTTTATTCTTAGTTCATAGCTTCAATCAATTCACTCACAACAAACTGGTCCAACAGTCTGAAGATGTAACTGTAACCAAATTTTGATTTCGATAGTTATCATGTGCAACCTAAAATCAGAGCCTTGTGTTTTACCAGTGCAAATCATAATTGGATATTTATACAGTTTCCTTTGTGACTACCTATTTTCTATCTTTTCCACACATGGGAAACTAACGCATAGAAAGTCAACAGTATTATGAGCAGAGAGGAACATGCTCTTGGCTAAAGAAGTATTAGGGCCTGAAATGACACATTAACATCTATCCAAAATGTAAGTCTTATTCCAGAGTACCTCTCAATGGGCACAATTCAAAAATGTGTGTCTCTTCCTTCCCTCTAGACAACCATGGACCACTTCAGCTCCAAGGACATGGCGTTGAGCGCGCAGAAGAAGATCCTCAGCCGCATGGCCACCAAGAGCTCGGTCCAAATGTTCATCGACGAAACCACGAGCGAGATCCTGGACGAACTGTACCGCGTCTCCAAAGGCTACTCGGGGAACAAGTCGGAGGCGCAGAAGGTGATCAAAGACCTGGTGAAGATCGCCGTGAAGATCGGTTTGCTGTTCAGGAACAACCGCTTCAGCACCGAGGAGCTGGGAATCGCCACGGATTTCAAGAAGAAGCTGCACCAGGGGGCCATGACGGCTATCAGCTTCTACGAGGTACGTTTACACATTTGTTTTTAAAGTACAGAAGCTATAAACAGGCTTTAGGAAGTCAGAACTTCAGTGGTCTGAAATAAAACTCAAAACTGATATATCAAGGAATAGAGATACATTACATTGGCATAAGGACACTAAACAGTCAATTGTTTAGGCAGAAAAATGTCCAAGTTCAACGCAGAATACTAAAATAGACCTTAATAGCCTTTCAAATCTGTATTACAAGGGTAAATGTGTGCAGTATGTTGCAGGGAATGGTTGTAAAGAAGGTTTTTAAGGTTTTAATTAAGCTATTTGGCTCTTTAGTACTTTTCTGGTGTCACTATCTATCACTAATGGAGAAAACACATTGGTGAATAATCTAAAAGGCCCACTGATAAAGGTATTGCAATATTTGTATGCTTGCAGTACTACAAACTGGTTGTGTGTGGGGTAATTACTTCAGCATTGTATACACACAAAAAAGGTAACTATGCACACAGCTCAGAAATCTTTAAACAGCTTGACTCCAGACTGCTAAATTCGAAGCAACATTTGATTGCTTTCAAACAAGAAAATCACAATCAACAAGGACTAAAGTCTCCGCGATGGCCACTTAACTGCAGCTACGCACTTGACCCTAAATGACCTTGTTTCCATGTCTGGTGTTGAAGTCATGCATGGGTTTGACTCACACCAAACCACAATAATGACAACTGCAAGAACATATTTAATTACTATACATTATGGGGACACTTAACCCCGAGTTGCTCCCGATTGCAAGGCTAACGGTGTGTGACTGTTGGATTCCCTGAGCAAGAGTGGCACATTTCTCTCTTTGAATGTGTGTGAATGAAGACTTGAAGTATGTAAAGCGCCTAGAGGAGTTTAAGACTGCACCATATACATACAATACAGTCCATGTTCCATGTTCAATATTAACTAGGGGTAGGTTGGTTGTGGCTGAGGGGGAAAAAGGACGTCCACCAATTGAAGTTTCAGTAGTTCAATCTCCAGTCGCTGCAGTAAGCATGTTGAAGCATCCTTGGGCAATATACTGTATTGAACCCCAAATTGCTCCAGTAGGAATGCATTCTATGGTATTGAGGTGTATGTAAGTCGCTTTGCTACATGCTAAAGGACATGTGATGTAACCCACAGTCATAACCCTTTCCCCCTTACTCCCTCAGGTGGATTTCACCTTCGATAACGGGGTGATGTCAGAACTCCTGACCAGCTGCAGGGATCTGTTGTTGAAGCTGGTGAACACGCACCTCACCCCCAAATCCCACAACCGCATCAACCACGTGTTCAACCATTACTCCGACCCCGAGCTCCTGACCAAACTGTACGACCCCAGCGGCACCTTCAGACCCAACCTCACCAAGATCTGCAAAGGACTCGACAAACTCATGGAGGACGGGACAATATGACGTCAAAACAAAACAATCAAATGTCACACAGACACTGGGAGATCAACAGACTCACATGAGACTCAGAACTGTTGGACACATTTTGGTCTTACTGCTGCTGAGGAATGGCAACGTAAAACAAGTGATTTGAGAACAAAAGCTCAACGACGCCCCATCGTTCTCGAAGAACATGCGGGATGAGGAACATTGACTCATTCCTCAAGTGTTCAGTGTTCAGAGGTGATATACTGTTTAATTGTGATGTAGACGAATTCTCAGAAAAATAATAAACTGTATCGGCTGTTTTTATTAGATAAGGAAATGTCATTAGATGCTTGATATTTGAGGCCTTGAAATGTTTCTTTGAGAACTACTGATGTTGGGTATTCAGGAGAGATGTTAGCAGCTGGAAATATTGCATAGAGAGGACGGACAGGGAACAATGCCACTGTAATACAGCACTGCCATCTGGTGGTGAAGATGCCGCTTCATTGTACTGTATTTCCCAAAGCTTCCGGAAGCCAATAATAAAGCCAAATAACCCCGCAGTAGACAATTACTTACAGCAACACTTTGCAGCTTCAAAACATGTTTAGCAGCATTAACAAAGGGACTGATGGCTAAGTGGTGTTGACAGGAAGATCTTAAGGTTAATCCTATGACTCGTGTTATTGTGGAGACTTGATCACAGGCGTTGTCTGAGATTAAGACAGGTGTTGTTCTTTGGTTTTACGTTACCAAGACATAAATAAAACCAACAAAACCGGTTTAAATCCAGCCCCAACGAGACACTCCACTTTATGCGCTATTGCAATGTAGTTTAACTGCGAAAATACCGTTTTTGTGGATCAAATTTGATCAACTATTAAGTTACAGAAAGCTTATTTTTTTAAGGTTCTAATAAAAAACATTTACTTGAGAAAGTTTGGACAAGGTGTCAATATATATATATATTTTTAAGACCTCAACAAAAAACATGGCCTGTATGTAAAACTGAAATAAAATGTAGAAAACGACTGCTATCAAAATATATTCTAAAACACAAGTCTGTTTCCTAAGCTTTGCTACGTTAGACTAAGCTTGCTAGTTAGGACTAAGCTCTGCTACGTTAGACTAAGCTCGGCTACTTAGACTAAGCTCTGCTACGTTAGACTAAGCTCTGCTACGTTAGACTAAGCTCTGCTACGTTAGACTAAGCTTGTGCTACGTTAGACTAAAGCTTGCTACGTTAGACTAAGCTCTGCTACGTTAGACTAAGCTCTGCTACGTTAGACTAAAGCTCTGCTATACGTTAGACTAAGCTCTGCTACGTTAGACTAAGCTCTGCTACGTTAGACTAAGCTCTGCTACGTTAGACTAAGCTCTGCTACGTTAGACTAAGCTCTGCTACGTTAGACTAAGCTCTGCTACGTTAGACTAAGCTCTGCTACGTTAGACTAAAGCTTGCTACGTTAGACTAAGCTCTGCTACGTTAGACTAAGCTCTGCTACGTTGACTAAGCTCTTGCTACGTTAGACTAAGCTCTGCTACGTTAGACTAAGCTCTGCTACGTTAGACTAAGCTCTGCTACGTTAGACTAAGCTCTGCTCGTAGACTAAGGCTAGTTAGACTAAGCTCTGCTACGTTAGACTAAGCTCTGCTACGTTAGACTAAGCTCTGCTACGTTAGACTAGAGCTCTGCTCCGTTAGACTAGAAGCTCTGCTACGTTAGACTAAGCTCTGCTACGTTAGACTAAGCTCTGCTACGTTAGACTAAGCTCTGCTACGTTAGACTAAGCTCTGCTACGTTAGACTAAGCTCTGCTACGTTAGACTAAGCTCTGCTTACGTTAGACTAAGCTCTGCTACGTTTAGACTAAGCTCTGCCTACGTTAGACTAAGCTCTGCTACGTTAGACTAAGCTTCTTCACCAGTGACAATTTCCACAGTGAACATGATTCATAAATGAACTATGGCTAGAGGCTTTAGTCAGAAGACTCGCCCAACGCTGCATTGTCAGACGGTGAGGTATACGAAGGGTCATATGACCGAAGCAACTTGTGACTGTGCATTCTCCTTTCTAACATTTCACGCTCTTGTTTTGTGAAGATACGTTTGTGCTATTGGCCATATGCAGCTTTACATAATCTACAGTATTTCTCAACAAATAAATAAGAAAGCTACATTGCAGTATTCATGTTTTAAAAACGGTTTAAATACAGTGTAACTTTATAAGTTCAACAAAAAAAATGGCATACAGCTGCAGGATGAGTGGAGATATATTCCTCTTTTTGAAATGTTCAAATCCTGCGACGTGGCTTTCTGAGAGTTGTTCTTCTTTAATGATCAGAGTGCACGAACAACACGTCACAGCTGGAAGATCTCATCCTCCCCGTCTCTCAGTTTCCTGGTGAGTTTGGTGATAGTGAAGGGAACGGCCACATGTGATGCCTGCTGCATTGTGGGAGATAAAAAGGCGCTCTGCGACCTGGTGAGCGGCCGACAGTCTGAGGCCTCGCTGCTGCAAGCTGCTTCTATCGAGGCCACCCTGTGAGAGATAGACAGACACAGTAAGTGTGAAGACTGAGCGTTTCACTTAATCAGCATGCATAATGTCAGTGATATTGTGATAACCCTTCTCTTGCTCTGGGATTATGACACTGTGTACACCCGACATTAACATGCCACTTTTGTGTTTTCAGAATAAACACATTGTATTCGCAAACAAAGGCTAGATTCATCGTTGTTTGTAACTGGCGGAAATTCACTTCCTGTGCCAAGTTTTCCAGAAATTAAAGTATGAAGCAGGAATGCTATTCACAGCACATGTTGGATGCACTCATATTATATTTCCATGTGCTTTTTGACATGTTCAGACATTGTTTAAATAGCCAGTGAAAGGAGTTTTGTTGAGTTGCAAGAAGTTCATTTAAGTATGTGATGAAGTGTATAAGACTAGTAGAAAGGGAAGACGCTGTCCTCCACCTCTGAGAGAGATATAAGGCTTTCTTTCTAAGTTCAGTCTACAGAGCTTCAATGTTATTAATGTATAACCCAGTGGCGAACCGTGGCTATCACAACTGGACCTTCTGTAGGCACCCCCCCCCCCCCCCCCCCCCGGTGTTATAATGTCCGTCTTCTCACTGAATTGTCGTCTTGAAAAGGGTATTCACAACAATTCCGCAACAACTTCCTCTTCACCTGTTGCACTTGTCATTTCAACGTTAACAACAATAAAACGGCATGAATTGCTTCGTGGCATTCATCTAGATCCTCTGTCTCGAGGAGCCAGTGAACTAGCGGGCCTTCTAGAACACCCTGGAACCGAGGGGAACTCTGAAAGAACACGCCCATTGGCTACAAATCAATATATGATTGGTTGATCAAACTGTCAATCCAAACGTACGCTCTCATTCAGTGCAACGGCCAGGGCCTTCGATCAAGGATGTAGAATACCTTGTTGAAGGATATTCTACCCAGAGACCCAGAACAAGATCTGATTGGTTGCTTTATTTTCTAACACAAAACCACTGAAATGCGTAGTGCATGGTCCGAGAAGGACAAACAAATCAACGTAACACTGTAATATTACAGATCAACAACAGATACCATTCTCATTTATTCATTTTATATACATTTTATTTATATAATTAAATCGATGTTTGTGTTTGTTTTATCTGAGTGTTCCAGGGTATTCTCTGAATACCTTGAAGGCCCTGACGGTTCGCCACTGGTATAACCGGCACAAGTGGTTTGAGAAGCAAGTGAAGGCGAGAGAAAGAGGAACAAAACGAGATCTGGGGCGTTGAAGTGATTTCCTGTTGCACCTTTCTCTGTGTGGTGCAAGTGATAGAATCTCGGGGGCGGGTAGACTCAAATTTAAAGCTGTTCACTTATGAGTTGTTTGCCCAAGGTGCATGATAACATCCGGTGTGAACAGGAGTTAAGAGTCCTGTGAGTGCCAAACGGATCTTGTTTAACAACATAAACAACATGAAAAGACAATCTTATTTTAGGTGCAACATTGGCTTTTAAAGCAAGTGCATAAGATGTGAGAGGACTTAGAAATGAAAGGGTGTTATAAGTATTAAACTTGACGCCAAAAATCATGTTTTAGGGAATGCCAGACAGCAAATAAAATGTCAAGACTTGAGGATCTGTCACAGCCAATCCAGAGCATGACTGTGTCTGAACAACCAGCGTAAACAAGCGTGTACCTCTTCTCTGCCTCCTGACATCCTCTCACCGCCGCCTGCTTGGATTGACTTATCAAGTCGTCCAACCTTTTCAAAAAGTCCACTGGAGTGAGGTCCGACGCTCTTTCTCTGCCATCGTTCTGCTTCCTCTCTGAGGGGCTCCTCGTGTGCCCATTTTGTTTGGAGACCGAGCCAGCACCGTCCTCTTCGAACAAATCCCCCCCGTCACTACAGTGGGCCAAGTCTGGCAGCAGAGGGATTGATAAGGACTTCTTCAGGAATATGGAGTCATTGGTGTACAGCCTGTTGGCTCTTTTGATTTGCTCCATCTGTGAGAGAAGATGACATGTCAGCATTGTGTATACTTAATTACATAAACGTGACTAATTATGGTGTCTCTTAATAATATAGAAAGTATTGGACATTTTTAAAAGTCAAAATCAACAGCAGGAGAGCAATGCAAATCAATGCACATTTGTAACAATTTAAAATACAGTTTTTGATATGAGGGTTGACAGTGTTGATCATAATCAACTTCATTTTACTAAACCATCATTCATATTACTTACTTAATACTACTAAGTGTCATTGAGAACCTATAAATTAAAAAAAGTATTACTGTACCTGAATAATTGTACCCAAAAGTGCACACACACTAATAACTAGTCCATGTATATAAGGACAATAAGAAATAAACGTGAAATATGTATATCCTGCATCCAAATATAGCAAAAGGGGATCTTTCATTGGGAGGCAGGGTATCACAATATTTCCAATATAATACAAACACAAAAATAGTTTTACAATATATGTTTTTACTTACAGAAACTCCATATTTCAGGGCCAGGCCTTGCAGTGTTTCTCCGGGCTGAATGTTGTGTTCAATGCGTCTCTGGCGAACCGGAGAGAGAGGAGACCGGACCAAACTACCGTAAGACCGGGTCCGGTTCCCCAGGAGGAGGCTGTTACCCCCACCGGGCAAAGGAGCTCTCTCCCCTGACATAGTAGCGAACAAATCGGCAAGATAACAACCGAGCAAACGGTGGCAAAGTGTGGCTACAAGCTCACGTTGTTGACATAATGAGAAGCAAACTAACTAGCAGCTTAGTTAGCATTCTAGCTAAATGGTAATCTCACTTAAGCATGAGGCTCGTTATTTTTGTGTCAACGCTACCTGTCAAACCTATGCTACATTTAAAGACTATAACTTACTTCACAGCCAGTTTTAATAACCATATGTCTCAAATAAACCGCTGAAAAGCTTGGGAGAAAGTTGCGAATATGTTCATGTGTCCAGCTGTCAGCTGCCGTGTGTTGCCATGGCTGCCATGTTCAGTCCCGTGAGTCGTCACATGTGCTGCATTCATGACAATTAGAATAACCGCAACGAACTGAAAACTTGAAACCTAACATGTAACCTATTGAAGCAAATGGAGATTTCTGAAATGAGTTCACGGTTTTCTGAGCGTTAAACACATGTACACTTCATGTGGTGCATTTCAAATAACGTCATATATTGCAGCTAATGTTTTAAGGGACAGTACCTACAATTTTAAGTGTTTCAAGTTTTTGAAAATTCAAAAAGTTTAATCTAATATAAATAGTAATAATAATAGTTTCAATAATCTAATTGTTGTAAAAAAACAAAAATGAACTGGAGATCATAACAATTTAGCATTTAAAAACTGATCTGAACTATATTTTCAAATATGAAGCTTGTAATTCCCATTTTCCTTTCTGACTGGGAACGCAACATTAGCTTGTCTGTCGTGAATGAGCTAGTCAGCTATGCTAACCCGTTACTATTGACCTCTATTTTGATATTATCAACCATAATTATGTCTTTTAAAAGGGAAGGTGATGACAAGAGTCAATTGAACATCCTGAAGGTAACATGTTACTTTTTTGAACGTTTCTATTCGACACTTCAGTTGAGGTTATGGATGTTGTTATGGTTAGCATAATGCTAGCTACCTGTATCCACATGTTTCAGATTGCATCTTTGATAAAGTTAGAATGAATGAACCACTCCTCGTTGTTTTTGTGTTCCAGAAACGCCGTGTTGCAGATCTTCTGTCTAATTATATTCCAGAAGATGAAGCAGCTCTTATGAATAATGGAAGGTGAAACGAACTTTAACAACAGTGACATGTGTGTGAATGAAACTCTTGTACTTTGAGGTTGTTAAAGCTCGAACTGAAGAAATTAAACTAATAATTGAACTGTTAAATTGTGTGTCTAGATATACTTGCCTTGTGTGCTCTTACCGTCCTGTGTTTGACACGGTGGACACGCTGACAGTCCACAGAAACGGGAAGAAGCATCTGGAAGGTGAGGTGTTAATTCCAGTGATGAAGTGTTTAGGCAGTGGGTGTCTTTCTCTCCTAACATTATCTAGTGTACCACGTTTGAGTGGAAAAACGGTTACACCCCAAGCAAGACTAATATGTGTGTCTCTTTGACTTGTATGAGTATAAATCCTTTTTATTGGACACCAACATATTGTTTTTGGATTTTATATCCTGACAAAAAATGCAGGAATAGTTAGCCAAATTGTGACAAACATAAAATGAGCCTAGTTTTAAATATGTTGTTCATTAGTAAGTTACTATGATAAGTGATTTTCAACAGTGGTGCATCTAGAAGAGGGCAATACAGATATAATCCACTATGACGGTATGTCAATGTGTTAAATACCGAGGCTCCTAACCACTTAATAGTGTTTGTTTTGGCTAATGCCGCAAATAAACCCTCACACAAGTCAAGTCACTTTATCAAATGGTTCAACAATTCTTATTGAAATCCAATATTTCATAAAGCTGTCCAGATTATTGATGTGTAACATGGTGGCATTATACAACAAGAGATGTAGGAGGTATCTACAGCACTAAAGAATACATTTTTACATGGTTGACACATGTATAGTCCAACAGTTTTATTGTTATATTTACCCAGCTTCGAATATATAGATTGTGTAATAAGTATACATGGCTTAAATACACGTAATTATTGTATTTTTTCAGGTTTAAAAGGATTCTATGGAAAGAAAGCACGGCTAAAGAATGAAATCATAAAAAGGCACCATGAAAAATACGTTGAGGCTGAAGACAAAAGACAGGTAAATCAGTTGTGAGCTCCAGGTGTGTTTCTTCATCTGTCAATCCCCTGATAAGATAAGATATACTTTATTGATCCCAATTTGAGAATTGTTTTTGTTACAGCAGCATGTACACAAGGCATGGCACACAATGTGAAAATGAAAAGGAGAACAAAATAAACAGACATAAACAAAAAATATCAATAAAAACAGAACCTTAAAGTAAAATATATATATATATAGTGACAGTGGTGGATATATATTGGAAGACTTACTGTCAAATATACACTATGAAGGGCCAATTACAGCTATCAAAATATGTGAGTGTGCAACAAATAGCATATTAAAGGTGGGGTAGGTCATTTTGGAGAAACCAGCTCGAGTGCGCTAGAATTAGAAAATACACAGCCGGAAGAAATCTGCCACTTCCTCACAGAGCCCCTCCTCCAACACACACGAACGCGCACATGACCAATGAGGGCACGAGATAAGTTTGTGCCCCGATGGAAGGCTGACAGGCAGGTAGGCCATCCAGTTACTTTAGCCGGGCCGGCTCAAAAGATTGGTCGTGCTTTTTACAGCGCCACAGCTTCCACGGATTTGTCAAAGCACTTCAGATATTAATTGCTATCGGGATGTTAAGAGCATTCCATGGAATATAACAGAAAGTGTATCTCGAGCCGGTTTCTCAAACTTACCTATACCCCACCTTTAAATGTAGTTGTATGGAAAAAATCTCCAACATGCAGAAGGTCAATGAATCATCACGGCCGAATAACAACATCAGCGGGAAAATACTTAGTGTTTCTTTGTCTGACTGAAACTGTTGCCATCTCACATGCATTGTGTCCCTGTGACAACCATATGACCCTGACAAACAACAACACTTTGAAATAGTTGTCCACTGTGGAAAAGATAAACAACACTTGATCTGGGGGGTGTACTACGAAGCAGGATTTTCGCTTAGCGGCTAAATGCAGGGAAAACTCCGGCTTTCCGGTCCTACGGAGCAGGTTCTCTTTTTAGCGGGCTAGATCTCCATGGTAACTTATGCTTAGCGGCTAACCTGGTCGGGACCAGGTTAGGTTGCAGGCTAAGAGCTCAACTCAGTGAAAGCACCGCCTGCTGACCAATCAGAGCTCAGTGTGCGGAGTTTAAAGCGATCAAGTCATATTACAAGAGAAAGGAAATACAGAAAAGCTGCCGTCGCAGGAAAGACGGCCGGCAAAAATCACCGACTGTGTGAACGTGAACATTAATAGAATATCACCTCCATCTTCAGAGCAATCTGACTATTATAACATTAGTGTTAAGAAAGCTTACTTAAATATCTGCCACAACATAAGTAACCGGATCAGAGTAACATTAAGTACAGTCCGCGGCATATCACTTCATAATGTATCATATATTTCCTTATCTGAGTCAGTTGAGCCGTATCTGGCCGTGCAACACTCACAGTGTCACATACTGTATGCAGAAGTATTATTTTAAGTAACACATTAAGTTGAGGAAACACTCGAGTCAAATGTAATGAAAGTCAGATCGTGTTTTAGACGGGCAGTGATATCATAAACCTGTTAATGTACGCATTCAAACACTTGTTCTTTTGCCAGCTGTATTCACCTTGCAGGTGCAGCTCTGTGGCTTTGATCCTGGATCAAGTGTTTAAGTCATGGATGTTTAAAGTTTAACTTCTTCATTTTTGTCTAGTATTAAAGTTCACTTTTCATTCAGGAAGTATGACGCTGCGCTGTCAGTACGCTTCTCCATGTTTGTGATTGGTCGAATGCTCCAGATACCACCCCTTTCATGTGAACGCGCACCTAACTAGATAGGACACGGCTGGCTTGAGCGATCCACTTGATAACCCGCGTCGTAGGACCGCTTAGCGAGAGCGCGTATGTTTTGGATTAGGCCAACCGGCTAACTCAAACATATCCAGGTTAGGTTGAACCAGCTTCGTAGTATAGGCCCCTGAACTCTACTCAGACATTCCCACTATATTCTACTTACAGCGTTTCTTTGTTTCTTTTAGGAACCCTCCTGTTCAGCTCCTCTATTGGAACAAACTCGGAAGCTTACACATCACGCCTTATTGAAAACTGTCCCTTATAACAGCTGCCATACAAAAACCAGGTATTTAGTGCATAAATTCAAGCATATATAATAAACACTACTTTTAAAACGAATATCTCGTATTGCTTTCTAGTACAAAAGGTGGAACAGGAGCTCTGAGAGTTGACTCAGATCCCAGTGACAACTCTTCAAGCACAACAGCATCTGAAGCATGCCGGAAAACTGAAGTTCCGAACCGGTTATCACAAAGCGCTTCTAGTGGCTGCACAGCTGGTAAAGCCGGTCATACAAAATCGTACATTTTCAGATGTTGTGTTGAGTAAACCCGGGTCGGATGTGCTTTAATTGTGTGTTTTGTAGCCAATGAGGAGACACACCCAGATGTGAAAGGAGCTGAGTCAGCAGAGCCTCAGGAAGCAGAGCCGATAACAGCCGAGAGGAAGAGAGAGCTGGAGCATTACCTCAAACTAAAAAGGTACAGGAGTGTTTGTTTTTCTAGCTTGTTATCTAGGTTCATAGCGGATACAACACACATTCGGGTCACTTTTCCCACTCCCAAGAAACAACAAACAAACTTCCCAAACCAAGAAACAAAAGCCAAGTCTCTTACTTGAGCTCCTACGCCGAAATAACAGGGTTCAATAACCATAAAGAGCTTCTCACTCTTACTATACTGCTCTAGTATGAAACATTATAAAGTGACCACACATTTCTCTTAATGCAAAACACAACAACTAGTCAAAAAGCCTCGCAGAGCAACACACATTTTTCCAATCTCAAAACACACAATGCTGGTTCTCCGTTGGGAGCAGTAGAGAGACTGTTAGTGATGTGTCGGTCGCGAACGAGCCGATTCTTTTGAACGGCTCTTTGGTACGAACGAGGGGAACCGAGTCGTACTTGGTGAGAGCCGTTCTTGTTATCGTTCAATCGTTGCTCCGCACTCACTGCCTGCCAAAATCCACTCGCCTTTTAAAAAGCTTGATTTTGTTCCCCACATGTATTCTGTGAAGACCCGCCCCCTGCTCTGATTGGTAGGTTTCAGCACGAGGAGTGAGATGGGGTGGGTCTTAAGGGAATACGCGCGAGAGAGAAGTCATAACAAGTGGTACAGGACAGGTGGCGAAAACGCAGCAGCATTTGGATGCACTTCAAACAAAACCCAGGCAGTGATAAAGCGCACCATTTGTAAAGGCAACATATCCTTTAAAGCAGGGTCAAGAAATAATCTCCATCGCCACTTCATTATCCTGGTGATTATTTCGCAGATAAACCTAGGAACCCCGCCCCCTTTAAAAAACGGCTCTTTTGAACGGAACGGAGCCATAAGATCCGGTTCCCTTCAAAGAGCCATAATTCCCATCACTAGAGATTAGCGTGCACTTATTAAAATAACTGATGTGGACCAATCAGGATGCAGATATCAGTAAACTCGTCCAATCACCATGCAGCAGCATCCACACACAGGAACAGAAAGCCATCGTGACCCAGAGTCAGAGTTGTTCATTCTAACTAGAAGTCACTTCCATATATTTCAGAATCAGGTTTATGACCAGGTAGGTTCACACGCACGAGGAATTTGACTTGGTGTCATACATACAAGTAACAACAACAACAAAAAAACACAGATAGCGAACTATTTTAAGAACACTATAATAACATTTAAAAAATATAAGAACAAATAAAATAAAGCCGTGAAATAGAATGGAATAAAATATGTGCAAATATAAGCGTTTCATCTTGCTTTGTCTCTTCCTCAGTGACGGGTGGCTGCGGGACCGGAGCGGCCAATGGGTGAGAGACGAGAACGTGGAGTTTGATTCAGACGAGGAGGAGGAGGCTCCTTCGCTTTCCCCCCTACCCACAAGTCCCTGAGAGGACACATGTGGGGAAACACAGATTAGCTTGTACCACAGTGGAACAGCCGGAGCTCCACATGCACAGCCTTTCTAAAACCTTTCATTCAATTCCAATGTTTTTGTATGCCTTTATTAATCCTTGGACTCACTTCCTGGTTGAAAGAACAGCCTGCTAGTCATTATCAGCTGCTACTGTTTACCAGGACACTTACAATTTAAGGAGACATGTCATTGATTCTGTATCTCATATCATTTGATTTACAGTTTGAAAATCTCTTTTGTTTTTGTGCTGACAGTATTTGCCTGTTTACGTGTGACAATTAAAAGGCTCTTTTTTAAGATCAAGTCTTCTCTCATTAACTCCAACAATGCTTGTGTCCTAAAGTCAAAAAGACATGAATGGATAATTCTGATTTATGACGACATTATTTCACGTTACTTCATCTTAGTCTGACTTGAGAAGAAAACACGATCAGACTACAGGCGAGTAGTTTAATCAGATTATCTAAATCACTTTATTTGGAGGTATAAGGAGAAAGTGAAATCACCCAAAATTGTATTAATAACCAGACTTTGTAGAGGAAAACACAACTACGGCAAGCACAGTAGGTCAAAGTTCATGTCAGTGTAAATTGTGGATGCCCGGAGACATCTTTTTTACTTCCAAATCAATGTTTATCTCATTCAGTGTGTCTTTTTTCCTGATTCATTAGAAATATTACCAATTCCCAAATGTCTGCAGTTGACTGATCGTAGTATGACTTTAGAAAACTGACTTCAACTTGTTCCTCTTAACTTTCGATATTCAATACCTTCTCTGCAGTTTCAGTTATACAACTTATACCGACATTTGACGGCAACAAAATGAAGAAGTGGAGCCACCAGAACACAATATGGTAATTCTGTCACCGCGTGCATGACCCCAGCATTATAATCCAAAAATACACTTGTTTTACCTCTACGATCAAACCGGAGAGAAACTCTGGAATAAATGTGGCGGCGCTGACTTTAAATCATTTTTAAGATGTCAGTGGCGCCGTATGGCTTCGGAGACGTGACCTTTGAGAAGCCGAGCTTTCTGCTTATTACTCGGTGGTCTTTTCAAACTTGACATTAAGTCGCAGGAGCTTCATATAAATGAGGAAATAGATTCAAGAAATGAGAAGAAGGAGGCGAAGGCAGGGCAGGAACCCCAGCAATGCTGTCAGAGGTTAGCAGCTGCTTCTGCTCATAAATCTCCGCGTGTGCAACCCTCTTCAAGTTTCTTATTTTTGGAAGAAGGTAACTGAAGCCCGGCGGACTCATTTCCCACCAGGGGTCGGGGGTAAAAATAGCTCAGGTGCTTGAGGGAAGTCAGAGGATCAGGAGAGACTTTAAGGGATCAAAGAGCTGTGCTTCTTTACATGGAGGGCCTTAAATGCTGCAGGAAATGTCAACATTAAGAGGAAACAACAACTCAACGTTAAACAGTCTGTGATTTGTTCTGTTGTCTTACATCAGGGGTGCGCAATACGTCGATCGCAAAGGTAGTGTGGGTAGATAGCATGGCATTGAAAAAAAACAATATACATTATTACTTACTATGGCATTTGCCACTTGATTGACGTACAGGTAAGCCAGTCTGAGTTGTATTGTGCCATACGGGTTCATGCAGTTATGAGGGGGCCTCACCTCCTCATCTGAAGCCAAATGTGGCGCAATATTATGCGGCGCAATTAGTGTAAACGCCGTTTAGTCCCCCGCTCGCGACACAGATTGGGCAGATTGTACCCTGTAGGTCAGGGGTTCTCAAACTTTTTGTTTCTGCGGACCACTATTTATTATCAAGGATTTTCGCGGACCACCTCATATGCAAACCGTAAAAATAAGTACATATATAAACGTAGAGTTAAAAAGCCGATATTTTTTTATAGTTAATTATAGACAATCAAAAGTAAATTGAAGCCTATCTGATACTTTTGTGACCGGTGTCTGTCTGCGTTGTGGATGTTTCTCAAAGAGGACGGCAGATGCTATTTTAATGAGGTCATCCCAAACAATGCCACAAGTGCGGGGTCAATGCGACTGATTTCGATAGAGCAAGTCACATGAGGTGGTCCCCGAAAATCCTTAATAATAAAAAGTGGATTTTATTTAGTTTTTTTCCACGGACCACCTGCAGTACCCTCGCGGACCACCAGTGGTCCGCGGACCACAGTTTGAGAACCACTGCTGTAGGTAGATCATTTGGGCTTGGTCATTTTAAAAGTAGCTTCCAAGCTGAAAAAGTGTGGGCACCCCTGTCTTACATAATGGACTTAAGTAAACAACATCTTATTGTTATTTTGTTCCTCTTCATTGATTTTGGTGCTAATGTAATCCAAAAAGTAATGGAAAGTCATCGGGTTACTTAGATTACTGATTTGTTTGTTTTGTAAAGGTAACTTGTAACAGAATACATTTTTAAAGTTACTCTCCCAACCCTGTGTCATTTTAACTAATTTTGAATGCTCTGATTTTATTTTTGATTTGAATAGTCCCACAGAGGGGACATGTACACTCACTTGAATATTTCACATCCTCCTTTCCCTCACTCGCGTCCCTTCCTTGCGTCTTATCTTAGCTCCGCTTCCGTAAAGGCCCTGACACACCAAGCAGTCACCAGAGGACTCGCCGACGTCGGCTGTTGCGTCGCGGTGTTCTCCTGCGTCTTGGCCATGTGTCGCACGGGAACACACCGCAAAGACTTCAGTGCGTGAGTGGCAATAACTCTCCTTACCAGCAGGCGGCGGTAGTGTGTATTCGTCATTAAAAATAGGCAACAAACGGAAGACAGAGAAGAAGAACAGACTGCGTGATATAAACAACAACAAATAGCGTGTGCAAACTGCAGCCTGGTTATGATCCACTGCTGTCTGCCCGTCTTTGGTCCACAGCTACCCGAAGGGGCAAGTCTCCTGTACCGGGTGCACTGGGTTCGCAGAGAATCCACTTCTTCCTCAGCTCTTTCTCTGAAGCACACAAATAAACGATGTAAGCATTGTGGCTAGTTAGCATGTCCAATTCATATCTATATGCAGTGCCAAACTGCACAGCTAGCAACAGCTAGCAACAAGATAACAACGAAACACAAGGTTGAAATAACAAATTACATTTCACGTTAACGTCACTGTACGCTGGCAAACAATAAAAAGCCAACAGTATCTGCTAAAGAGCTCAATTGATGAAAAAGATCATCTTACCCGAGAAACCAAGTTGCGTTTCAATCTCTCGCCAGAGTCCGGTTTTCACTACTCGGTTCGAGTACCTTTTCTCTGTGATGTACAGAGCTGTTCTCTCCTGGATCAAGGTGATCAGCAGGTCTTCGTTTGCGTCATTCCAGATCGCCATGATGAGATGAAAATGAATATCAGTCTGTGTGTGCCTTCTTAAATCGTTTGTTTACGTCCCTCACTTCCGTTTCGCTTCTCATGCACTGATTCGCTAGCTGAACAGCCAATCAGAGTGATTGTTTGGTCCGACTGCCAGACCCGATGCATGGCCGACAGGCAGTCCAAATAAGGCGTGTCACGGTCGACGGTGCGGGACACACCAAATTGAGTTTGGGCGACAGGACACGCTTTGTCTCCCGACTTACGAAAACAGCCGAAATCGGCTTGGTGTGTCAGGGCCGTAAGACACGAGGAAGAGACGCGAGGACAGAGGAGTCCTCAGGTATTAATTGGGATGTCCTCGTTCACTCCAGCGTCACCATAACGCCCTTTACTTCTGGTGCGCAGTGTTATCACCTGTCACTGGACTTCCCTCCACATCAATCCCTTCAAACCTGGTATTTAGTTTCTGATTGAAATGAGTTCGTCCATCTCTTCCATTCATCTCTTTTATTATAGTTTTCTATGTATTATTTTCGGTCCTGTATTTGTTTTTCCAGGTATAACATTTCATTTAAGTTATAATTATAATCAAAACATTATTGAATTTGTAAGTATATTTCACACACTTTAAGGTTCCTTGCTCAGACACCTCGGTAACACACACACACACAACAGGTCTCTATGGACTTCGCCACCAAGTACAATGTTGATGTTCTTGTGTTTAACTTTTTATTTTTCTACATTTTGGAGGGAAATGTCGCACTTTTTACTTCACTACATTTATTTGACAGCTTTAATTGATAGCTACTTTGCAGATTTGAATTATTTCGAAATATGAATTAAATAATAAATGATTATTAGACATGTATTAATACATTATGGAGTATTTCAAGGCATTCAATTAACGTTACCAGGAGACAACATTGAAGTGATTCACATGTTATACATCACTACGTTTATGAATGAATATGTTTTTGAAATGTTCTAGATAACGAGTACTTTTACTTTTAGTACTTGAAGTATCGTTTGATACTAATACTTATAATATCTATCTAGTATTGCTAGCTACTTAAATGAAGTCCAATATATTTGTATTCGCCCACTGGTTGTGATTTTGTAAATGATGGACCGGTCTACAATATCCCGTTATTGTGATCATCGTATGAAACCTGTATTTCCAGTACATTAATAAAAAAATGAAAACAGCACAATTAGAAGTTAATTGAAGCTCCTGCAAAACAATTCTGTCTTGTTTTATTCAAAGATAATGACACGCATCAAAGTCTGTGCTCCCTCGGTGCATTAAACCAAGTGTTAATAGTGATATTCATATTACCAATAAGAAACAATACAATTAAACTTGTCAAACATGTCCAAAAAATACTTGAATATATATTTTTATTTAAAGTATTTACAGTGTTTTTCCTTACCACAGTTAGCACCACACGTATAATGTGTTTTAATGAATGAGAACCTCTTGTTTAGGATGATGTTGGAGATGCACAACAAGAAGGAAAGAAAAGACACTTCACATGTTGCTTGTGACCTATACATGCCTTTATGATGAATTCAGCAGTCTACAAAAAGCTGGCGGCAGTAAATGAAATGAAATGGTGGGACATGGAGGTTAGGTTGATTACAAAATGCACGATTCGATCAGCGATGGCGCTTCAAATTAAGAAATCTGACACGAAGTCTGTCTGAAATGGTTCTTATTTTTCCTCTCATCTTAATCTCTGCTGGCGAACTGCAAGACAAAACACATTAAGAACACATTATAAAATTGCAATTAAAATACAATTACAAAGGCAACAAATAAACATATCTTTATTACCTCAATGAGACCCGGCCTATTTGATTTCTCACACTCCTCTTGCTCTGTCCATTTCTAAGATTTATCCCAATATTTTCATAGTTTTGTGTGATTTTGTGAGATTGATTGTTCTCTCTCATGTCATTGAGTCGTGTGATGGCCATGGCCTTTATGACGAC